CCCTCCAATCCCCATAACAAAAATTTTCTCAAAGTTATTAAAAATGAAAAATTCAAGGTTGTGAACTATTGTGTTAAAATGTAAAACCTCAGCAACTTCATCTGTGTACAAGATCAAGGGATTGCAAACAGAAAAGGTGCAACATTGCTGGTCCATAGCAAACACAATTGTCATATAGGGTGAAAAATCAAGTACAACTGAAAATTTATAACACTGATTTGTTAATTATAGTCAGCCACTTAACTTTTTGTTATTGTTGTTGTTGTTGTCTCGGTACCGGGGATGGAACTTGTGCTTGTGAGGCAGGCGACAGACCACTGAGCCTAATCCCAGGCCCAGCCATTTAACTCTGTCTTCCATTGATTCTTTGTTTGACAATCTTTAAACCGAGTATCGAGACAAGCTCATCTTAGAACCTAACCCACAAATTTTCTATGAGGATTGTGAGTTTAGATTTAAAAAAAAAATCAGAGCCAATTTCACTCACTTTGCCTTCAGAAAGGTCTTCCTTGCTTTATCCTTTGTTAGAGTAAGAAAAGTATTGTAATATGGTCTCAAAAGTATAATAATATTAGTAAAACTACGCTGTTCCTTACTCGTATCATCACTAATTTTGATATGTTGCATGGTGTTGCAAAATATGGATATTGCCCAGTTTGTATTTAGTTTATGAAGCACGACATATACAAAAAGTAGAAGCTGTGTTAATTACATACGTTGGTAGGCAGGTGGAAGAGGGCCAGTATCTGTTTTCTTCCACGTGTGGAGCTTTAGTGATAAACATAAAATTTCATGTAGAACCAAACAGTGCATTATGTTCATGCCTGCTCCTCTGAACGCCTCGTGGAGAGAGGGATGTCTTCTGCACTAGGAGTCAGCATTCAGCTAACTTCCCTTTCTTTTGTTAGAGTTGACTCTGTTCTCTCCCAGCCCCAAGGCTACATTTGCTCTTCTCAAGAAAGTTACTGAACCCCAGGGAGGGCTTTCACTTGCCTCACGGACTTCCCTCCTCTGTGAGGCCTTGTCTTCTTTATACAGAGTAGAGGAGGGAGAAATCCATCCAATTAAGAGTTTTGCTTCAGTATAATGACCTTTTGGTTGTTTCTTTCTCAAAGAAGTGTGCTTCCATTTTACACACTGCAATAGTTTCCTTTCCTCTCATCCATCCAAACTTTGGGAGAATGCAAAGACTTGTTTATCGTATGCTTATTGTCCTAAAACACCAGAGGTGCCATTCACACACGGGTACAGTGGATGACATAATGGAGAGGATTCTGTGCTCATTCCATGCTCATTAACATATATGTGTGGATTTTCTGCAATGAGAGAGCAGAGAAGTCAGTGAAGGTGGCTTAGTTGGATTTCATGCCTTTGAGAGTCTGTCATTCCAGCCTCTGACAAAAAGTGTATCAGTGGTAGCCTATGAAACTGTGAGTTCTATTGCTCTGCATTTCAAACTTGCAGTGATTAATTTTGGCTGAGTAGATCTCTGGGAAATCTGACCTCGCCACCTTCATGCGTGCTTCTTCATATAAGTGAATGTATGAAGAAGAAAACCTTGTGAATAAAGAACCCTAAGTGATAGTCACGTCCACATCAGCTGGGCCTTGTTGAGCTGGACGATGCTGTGCTTGCACCTGGCCCGGTCGGCTGCATTAGAACAGTTGAGGAAACCCAGAAGCTCTTGGACAGCAAAGCCCCTCATTGCATCCCTAAAAGACAAACATTTCCAGTGAGAATTATTTGAGCCCAGAAGTCCTCATCCGAATACAACCAACCCTGGTCTATTTTGAGCTTTACAAAAAGTCACCTTCATTTGGGCATGAAGTGGCTTAAAAACCAGATTACTTTTCCTGTGCACATCAGATATAATTTCCATGAAGGAAGTAGACACTCTGATAGTGGTGGGCAAAGAGAAGTTATTTGGCTCAGGGGGGAAACTGTGCTGGAGGATGCAGGGAGCTGTGTGCAGTCAGCGAGATAAAGGTTGGGGTAGGGGAGATGAGTGGAACCTCAAAACCCAGAGGGGAATGCAGAGGCATAGGAATGTGAGAACACATCTCACCTGTGTGAGTTTTGTTGCTTGCTGGCCCTGCAGAGTTGTGCTGATACAATGAATTAAGTTTTCAATCCAACGTATCTTATCTTGGATTGCTGTTTTTTCTTCAGACAGAGTAAATTAAGGGCTCTGTCTTTATATCATTACCAGCTAAGGAGGCTGTATGATGTAATTAAAGAATGTTTGCCTCACCATCTTCATGCAGAAGCTGCCATCCTTGAACCAGAGGGGTTGGCAGACTTTTCTACAAAAGACTTGGAATATTATAGAGTAAAAGACCACATTGCCCGCCTTGATGTTGCTTTGACTCCCAGTCTTTTCTCTGCTTCTAGTAGCAACTGTCCTGTTTGTTGTTGTTGTTGCTGCTGCTGTTTTTATTTTTATTTTATTTTTTTAACCATAAAATTTACTACCCAGAACATGTGTGATCCATTTATCCTTACTACACTGCTGCTTTTGAGGCAAAACATTGCTTCATTCTTCTGTCTACCTCAAGCAATGTATACATTAATATTGAATGAACAGACAATGCACTTTTGTTCATCGTGACTAGACTTATTTACTTGTGTATTTAGAACTATATTTAGGCCCCATATTTTCACAGGAGTTGCAAGTTTAAAAGATACACTTGATACTTGGAAGGCTGAGGCAGTGAATTTCCAAGTTTGAGTCCAGGCAGTGCAACAAAACTCTGTCTCAAAATAAAAATTTGTCAAAAGATCTGGGGACGGAACTCAGGATAGACCATTTTTCTAGCATGTGCAAGGCCCTAGGATCGAGCCCCAGCATTAGAAAAACTGGGGTGCACTCTTTTGTTGTTGTTCTGTTGTGTTTGGGGATTTCTCCCCTAAAATACGTTAGTGCTTTGAGTGGAGTATCACAACTACCACTTTTAGGGCTCAATATCCTTCCTTCCTTTCTTTCTCTTGTTTTTTTTTCTTCTTCCTTTCTTTCCTTCTCCCTTCCTTCCTTCTTTCCTTCCTTCTTTCCTTCCTTTATTTTATTCATTTCTCACAGGGACTGAACCTAGGGCTTTTCCCCTGAGTCATATCTCAAGCTCTTTTTATTTTTATTTTTAAAATTTTAATTTGTAGCAAAATCTTGCTAAGTGGTTAAGTTGCTCAGGTTGGGTTTGAAGTTCAAATCCTCCTGGATTGCACCCCTAGATCTGTAGGACTACAGACACTGCACACTATGCCCAGGCCAAACACCCAGACTGTAGGTTCAGGTGGAGGTTATTATAGAGTAAAAGACCACATTGCCCGCCTTGATGTTGCTTTGACTCCCAGTCTTTTCTCTGTTTCTAGTAGCAACTGTCCTGTTTGTTGTTGTTGTTGCTGCTGCTGTTTTTATTTTTATTTTATTTTTTTAACCATAAAATTTACTACCCAGAACATGTGTGATCCATTTATCCTTACTACACTGCTGCTTTTGAGGCAAAACATTGCTTCATTCTTCTGTCTACCTCAAGCAATGTATACATTAATATTGAATGAACAGACAATGCACTTTTGTTCATCGTGACTAGACTTATTTACTTGTGTATTTAGAACTATATTTAGGCCCCATATTTTCACAGGAGTTGCAAGTTTAAAAGATACACTTGATACTTGGAAGGCTGAGGCAGTGAATTTCCAAGTTTGAGTCCAGGCAGTGCAACAAAACTCTGTCTCAAAATAAAAATTTGTCAAAAGATCTGGGGACGGAACTCAGGATAGACCATTTTTCTAGCATGTGCAAGGCCCTAGGATCGAGCCCCAGCATTAGAAAAACTGGGGTGCACTCTTTTGTTGTTGTTCTGTTGTGTTTGGGGATTTCTCCCCTAAAATACGTTAGTGCTTTGAGTGGAGTATCACAACTACCACTTTTAGGGCTCAATATCCTTCCTTCCTTTCTTTCTCTTGTTTTTTTTTCTTCTTCCTTTCTTTCCTTCTCCCTTCCTTCCTTCTTTCCTTCCTTCTTTCCTTCCTTTATTTTATTCATTTCTCACAGGGACTGAACCTAGGGCTTTTCCCCTGAGTCATATCTCAAGCTCTTTTTATTTTTATTTTTAAAATTTTAATTTGTAGCAAAATCTTGCTAAGTGGTTAAGTTGCTCAGGTTGGGTTTGAAGTTCAAATCCTCCTGGATTGCACCCCTAGATCTGTAGGACTACAGACACTGCACACTATGCCCAGGCCAAACACCCAGACTGTAGGTTCAGGTGGAGGGGGATTGCTGTGTACAGGAGTGGATGGAGAGCTACTTCATTCTCTTTGTCTTATTGTAATTTTCCCTTTTAGTGAACATGCAATTGTTAATGAGCAAATATTTGTCTATACTTGGTGCTTCTTAGTTCCAGATTTGTCTTCAAATTTTGGGGAGGTGAGTATAATAACCATAACCTAAATCACATTAAGATCACCACGTTTATTGATACCCATACGACATCTGTCAGGGAATTGCAGAGCTCAAGTGCTTACAACTTCAGAGATGGAGAGGTGGGGAGCAGGCTGACATCCACAGGGCTGTGTGTCCTTGAGAATCCCATGGGAGTCAATGGGGTCATAAGTTATTTTATGGGGTAAATCCTAAAACTTGGGGCAATCAGCCTCCCAATGACTAGGGAGACACTGTCTCAAAATTAAAATTAAAAATAACAAAGTGCTGAAGATATGTTAGAGAAATGGATTCTGTCCTGTGTACTGAAAACACAAAACCAAACATATATTGGGGCTTTCAGACTGCTATTTTTTAATTACTCAGCAGCAGTTTGGTTTCTGAATTTTTTTTTACAGCTTTCCTGCCTTCTCTGTGTGATGCTCTCCAATGCTGACTTATAGCCATTAGGAAATTTCTCCCTGGCCTCAAAGGCCAGATTTCTTCCTTCGAAGTTTTTTTCTGATCAAAATACCCGCCCGCAGGAATTAACTCCAAATGATCTTTCTTTTTTTCTCAATAGTGAATCTTTTATATTTACAAGATTGCAATCTAATTGCTGCCACTGTACGGACAACTGGATGCATTGCACGTTTTAAAGATCAAGGAATCCAGATGACAGCAGCTTTTCTGTGTGGGAGCCCTTGGGAGACGCTGCCAAGTTGGGTCCTGTGAGAAAGCAGGGAGTGGGCAAAGGTGTGACGTGGAGCCCGAGGAGGGAGTCTTGTCAGTTTTTATAACAATAGTTAAACAGGATGAAAGAAAGATAAGAGAGAGCACGAAAGGGCATGGGTGTGACGTCTAATTCATTCCGGGTGAGTTTGTTCAACAAGTTACAGTATCATTACCTGAAGCTTAGAGTAGATAAGGGTATTCCTTGATTTTAGTCCCCAAATATTTCTGTGTTGTTTATCCTTAAAAATACTAATGACCAACACTGCAGCAATAGAAAAAAGTGAAAGTGTATCCTTTGCACAGTAAATTGTATTTATGCAATGAATTCATGACATGATTTGCAGTTGTTTTTAGATGATTGATAATACAGACAAGCTGGAACTATCCATGCTTAATTTGTTTATTTTTTCCCCTCTAATCCACATAATTTGCTGAAAAAACATGCTGCAAGTAGACTGAAATTAGGTAAAAATGGAAGTTTTTAGTTTAATACTCTCAGAATATATTTCACCATATTCTTTTAATTGTTTCTCTGTTCACAGCCCAGAAGAACTGTTGTTAAGAGACTCAAATTGTGCTAAGCATCTAGAATTCCTACCAACTGCTAATCACCAGCAAGTTTAAATTAATGTGAAAAATATATTGCTACAGGGAAAATGATGACTACCTGTGTTGGTCAGCTTTTCATCACTGTGGCCCAGTGCCTGAGAAAATCTAGTTAAAGGAGAAAGGAGTGGTTCTGGGTCATAGTTTCAGAGGTGTCTGTCTGTGGTCCTTTGACTCCTGGCTTCTGGGCTGGAATTGAGGCAGAAACATCCTGGCTGAAAAGCATGGCCACAGGGCATGGTGGGATGCAGGAAAAAGCATAAGAGCCAGAGAAGATGAGCTACAGACTGTGTACACAGCTTCAACTACAAACCCACTCCCTTCATCTGGGCATGGGGTCCATTGTCTGAGTACTGAGAAAATTAAAAAAAAAACACACACATATTGGGGCGTTTGTGTTGTTTCATCGCCAATGACATCGAGTCATGATAGCAGATGAATTAAACAGGATGAAAGAAAGATAAGAGAGAGCACGAAAGGGCATGGGTGTGACGTCTAATTCATTCTGGGTGAGTTTGTTCAACAAGGTACAGTATCATTACCTGAAGCTTAGAGTAGATAAGGGTATTCCTTGATTTTAGTCCCCAAATATTTCTGTGTTGTTTATCCTTAAAAATACTAATGACCAACACTGCAGCAATAGAAAAAAGTGAAAGTGTATCCTTTGCACAGTAAATTGTATTTATGCAATGAATTCATGACATGATTTGCAGTTGTTTTTAGATGATTGATAATACAGACAAGCTGGAACTATCCATGCTTAATTTGTTTATTTTTTCCCCTCTAATCCACATAATTTGCTGAAAAAACATGCTGCAAGTAGACTGAAATTAGGTAAAAATGGAAGTTTTTAGTTTAATACTCTCAGAATATATTTCACCATATTCTTTTAATTGTTTCTCTGTTCACAGCCCAGAAGAACTGTTGTTAAGAGACTCAAATTGTGCTAAGCATCTAGAATTCCTACCAACTGCTAATCACCAGCAAGTTTAAATTAATGTGAAAAATATATTGCTACAGGGAAAATGATGACTACCTGTGTTGGTCAGCTTTTCATCACTGTGGCCCAGTGCCTGAGAAAATCTAGTTAAAGGAGAAAGGAGTGGTTCTGGGTCATAGTTTCAGAGGTGTCTGTCTGTGGTCCTTTGACTCCTGGCTTCTGGGCTGGAATTGAGGCAGAAACATCCTGGCTGAAAAGCATGGCCACAGGGCATGGTGGGATGCAGGAAAAAGCATAAGAGCCAGAGAAGATGAGCTACAGACTGTGTACACAGCTTCAACTACAAACCCACTCCCTTCATCTGGGCATGGGGTCCATTGTCTGAGTACTGAGAAAATTAAAAAAAAAACACACACATATTGGGGCGTTTGTGTTGTTTCATCGCCAATGACATCGAGTCATGATAGCAGATGAATGGGAATAGTGACGCTCAACAACTAGACCACACACACACCGAGAGGTCTGACAGGAGACTTTATTCAGGGAGCAGGAGCAGAGGGAGAAGGGGCAGCAAGAAGAAGAAGAAGAGAGGAAGAGAAGAAGAAAAGAGAAGAGCAAAGAAAGGAAGGTCCTTTTATTGGTGAGTCTTGTCAGTTTTTATAACAATAGTTAAACAGGATGAAAGAAAGATAAGAGAGAGCACGAAAGGGCATGGGTGTGACGTCTAATTCATTCCGGGTGAGTTTGTTCAACAAGTTACAGTATCATTACCTGAAGCTTAGAGTAGATAAGGGTATTCCTTGATTTTAGTCCCCAAATATTTCTGTGTTGTTTATCCTTAAAAATACTAATGACCAACACTGCAGCAATAGAAAAAAGTGAAAGTGTATCCTTTGCACAGTAAATTGTATTTATGCAATGAATTCATGACATGATTTGCAGTTGTTTTTAGATGATTGATAATACAGACAAGCTGGAACTATCCATGCTTAATTTGTTTATTTTTTCCCCTCTAATCCACATAATTTGCTGAAAAAACATGCTGCAAGTAGACTGAAATTAGGTAAAAATGGAAGTTTTTAGTTTAATACTCTCAGAATATATTTCACCATATTCTTTTAATTGTTTCTCTGTTCACAGCCCAGAAGAACTGTTGTTAAGAGACTCAAATTGTGCTAAGCATCTAGAATTCCTACCAACTGCTAATCACCAGCAAGTTTAAATTAATGTGAAAAATATATTGCTACAGGGAAAATGATGACTACCTGTGTTGGTCAGCTTTTCATCACTGTGGCCCAGTGCCTGAGAAAATCTAGTTAAAGGAGAAAGGAGTGGTTCTGGGTCATAGTTTCAGAGGTGTCTGTCTGTGGTCCTTTGACTCCTGGCTTCTGGGCTGGAATTGAGGCAGAAACATCCTGGCTGAAAAGCATGGCCACAGGGCATGGTGGGATGCAGGAAAAAGCATAAGAGCCAGAGAAGATGAGCTACAGACTGTGTACACAGCTTCAACTACAAACCCACTCCCTTCATCTGGGCATGGGGTCCATTGTCTGAGTACTGAGAAAATTTAAAAAAAAACACACATATTGGGGCATTTGTGTTGTTTCATCGCCAATGACATCGAGTCATGATAGCAGATGAAAGGGAATAGTGACGCTCAACAACTAGACCACACACACACCGAGAGGTCTGACAGGAGACTTTATTCAGGGAGCAGGAGCAGAGGGAGAAGGGGCAGCAAGAAGAAGAAGAAGAGAGGAAGAGAAGAAGAAAAGAGAAGAGCAAAGAAAGGAAGGTCCTTTTATTGGTTTGGGCTGGGCTATTGCTTATTCATGAGGAGTGGGATACTTTTAACCTATCACAGGCCAGGTTGCTTTTTATGGGTCCAGCCCTGCAGAAACAGGTTTCAACTTCTCTGTCTCACTGTGGCCTTGGTGGGAGGGAAACTAAAGATAAGAGCATGAGGTCATTTTAGGAGCCAAGAAGTACCAGGAGAATGCACCCTGTGATGGTGGTGTCACAGCATACTTTAACATGAACAATTCCCTAACAGCAGCAGTATCCACTCTTGGCATTAGACTTCTCACGATCCAATCACCTCTGTACACATCAGAATCCTGGGCATCATTTTAGAGCCAGACCATAATCCCACAGGAGGACAATATTTGTGTTGCATATGTGACTGACTGGATTCATGCTCAGACTCAAGCTATCTTTAAGCTGTGAGAGAAGAAGATTATCTTCTCCAATTGTCTTTGGAAGATCAGTTCTTAAACGACAAAATTATATTTAATTTCCAGATTGTTGAATGCTGCAGGCAATTTCTCATCATAAACCCGTACAAAAAAGTATATGACCTTTGTTGTCTTTCCATGCGTATATGTGCAAAAAATACTGTGGCAAAAGTGATAATTAACAGAATTTTTTTTCTGGAGTGATTGCACGGAGACATTATTTTGTGCTTAGCATTCGTTGTCCGAGTAGCTCTCTCTTGTCAGATATTCCTCAGTTACTGTGGTGGATTGGAAAGTCTTCCATGGTTCTTCTTTCCACAGAGAGGTTAGTTAAGCCAATAGTGAGAGGTGTGGCTCATAACGCACAGAGGATTTCTACAGAAGTAAGAGCAAGCATTCCATTGACAAGTTCCAGGAAACAAGCAAAGCAGTACTGACCGCCTTCAAAGACATCAGTGAAAAGTGGTAACTGTGCAGGGGTTATGACTGCAGGACTTGGCTCTTCACAAGTGGATAAGAATTGTACATGCAGTGAAAAGGAAGGAAAAGCTTCACACAGGATTCTTTCTTTGAACTCAGCATCTCTCCTTGCATCGTCCTGGTGAAGATGACCATGCCCTTCTGTCAGGAATGAGCCAGGCAAGTTCAGCTTCTCCTGGTTGTTAAATCTCTTCGCACATTAACTACATGATGGTTTCATTACCTGTTAGATTCTAGTCCTGATATTTTCCCACCTTACTTTTAGGCTAAGATACATAATCTAAAGATACGATATTCCTAAAATGAATCTGTAAATTTCATTTAGCCAAAATTTCTAACATAAAAATGAAGATGGAATGAATATGTAAGAACTGGGAAATATATAATCTTAAACATTCCACATCACTTTTATTATCTCTTTCCCACAGCCTTGTGAGGCCATAGATAATAATACAGAAAAACAAAATTAGAGTTCTCCTTTGTGGGTGTTTATTGCTCAGCCTATTCTGCAGAAAGTCTTAAATCCAAACTTTTACTCAAAAGCTGATATTGTTTTACCATCTAACATGTCAAAGCCAGACACAAACTATGGCTGTGCTTGTAAACTATGGTACCTTTCCAAGGAGATGTATCTTTCTTCTGAATTTTCTTTCCCACTCAACCTCATAGTGTGTGCAGACAGTGAGGTTGCCTGGGATTTTAATGAATACACAACCACACATGCACACACACACGCACACACACACATCTTCTTAAACACAGTGTGCACATACTTTCAAACATAATCACACATATGAAGAAACATGTGCAGTTTTGTCACAACACTGTGCACTCTGACATCTCCTTCCTGTGATTCTTGGGATCAAGATTTCTAACTGGTTAGGACCGATGGATTTGTTTTTTAAGGGAATAAGTTGAGCTAAACAACAAGAGGATTAGGGGCTACTGAAATTAGCTTCTCAAAAGATTTAGAGTTATGATTTCTTGTCTTTATTCCTTGCAGAAGCACAAACAAGATATTAATTACAAAAAATAAAAATATAATGATCAGAGGAATCATTTACTCATAGGGAGAGTCAGTTTTTTGGCAAGATCTATTCCAGTTTGAAAAACTTATAGATAATGAAAGCATTACATGGGGAAAGACATTCTGCTCTGGGTCTCAAGTAGTAAGCAGGAGAGGAATGGGCGTGTTGCCAATATTTTTTATTCCAAAGCCAAAACATCTTCCATAAAAGCAGAAATATTCTATATTCTCCCTCTTTTCACAGCCTAACTCCTCTGCTATACTCATTTGGCCTTATATATTTTTATACAGATTCATGCTTGACATAAAAATCATGGAATTTGTGTTAGAGTGAACCTTACCATGATATTTTAGTAATTGGATGCTGAGCTGTATTCTTCTATTTTTAAGTTCTCTTCTCTCTGAAAAGATCTATAAAAATCAATAGAGTGCTCAGAGCACTTTCAGGTGGGTCTTCTCAGCTTTCATAGACCTTTACCTCGCAGCCTGGCTCTCTAAACCATCTGTTTCCCAGTGCCGGTTTAAGACACAGTTAGACTCAAATCCATAGGGAAGTGAAAACCCACAGGAAAGTAGATTTTGCTGCAATCACAGCAAAACCCCTAGCCACCTCGCCACAAATGCAGCATGATCGGCATTCCCAGATTATTGGTGGAGTTGAAATCACTTTGTATTTCTTTCCATTGCCAGTCTCT